GTCGTGCCCGCCACGCTGGTTGTGCCCGCTCAATGTCAGCCTCGACACGACACCAGTTACCCGAAGCAGCTTCATGAAGAAGGCGATGGAGTGAGGTACGAATTATGAGTTGGGGACCTGGACGAAGATCAATAGCAAATGACGGAGGCGAAGGCGTTGGGAGGAGAGGCAAAGGCCGAGAGGGTGTTGGCAAAAGAGGTGCAACATGGGAGCCAGCGGGTGTCGGCAAAAGGGGTGATGTGTGAGGAGGATTAGCTGACGCAGGAATAGGTGGAGCAGGTGAGGGCTGAGCAAAAGGGGATTGCGGAACGAACGGCTGAGGGCCCATTTGTGTCCATCGGGAAGGACGTAAATGCCGTCGTGGAGATAGCAATCATGACTGACAGAAGCCATGTGGGTGTGGGTGTGGTGTGGTGTGAGTGTGGGTGTAGGTGTGTGGATGTGGGTGTGGGTGTGGGTGTGGGTATGTGGATGTGCCCACGTGTGGGCGTGGGTGTGGGTGTGGGTGTGGGGTGTGTGGGTGTGTGGGTGTGGATTTGGGTGTGGGTGTGGGTGTGGGTGTGTGGGTGTGGGTGTGGGTGTGGGGGTCAATCCCCTGGCTACTAAGCAAAGACAGCCTGCAGGAATGCTACCGACCATTCTTTTTTTTTTTGCTACCCGACGTTCATAGTATTACTAGTTAAGTAATTTACTAGGCTACCAGAGTGGCCCGGGGCCACTTGCCCGCCCAGGCCAAAAAAAATAAAAAAATAAAAAAATTATTTGTTTGACTTTATTTTTTATTTTAAATTTGGTAAAGAATTTCGATGTGACCCTGAGGCAAAAGTTGTTCAGTTTATTTTCCTGCATAACAATGATAACATAGTTTTGTTTCAGATTTTTTTTATTTTGTTTTTAATTATTTTTTTCTGCTAGGACCTTCCCTGGTCCTTGCACAGCCGGGCCGTCCGGGAAAATAGGGTGGCCCAGGCGGCCCGGCTGGTAGCCTAGGTAATTTACTAATTTTACTGAAGTTTTTTTAAGGTTCTTTTTGGCCCTTTTTTTCTTTTTCTTTGTAAGTGCTGTGGCTCAGATTCCAATGGGCTATGGGTCTCAGGTGGGACAAGGGACAGTAGGAGAAGGCGGTGGCATGAGGGAACTACATTTACCTGATCTAGTGCCAAGCAGGTAAGCACACCTGGAGTACCTTTTATCGTCACAAAGCGGCTAAGCGCCAGGTACCTGGATTGAAAAAGCATTTTAATGTTTCAATCACCAAGGCACACTCCAAAAAGGGGAAAACAAAGAAAACAAGGAATGGCTGGCACAGTCAGAAGCTGCACACTTAGAAGCTGAGGAGGTTTTTAAATATTTTTTTAAGGCAACTTGTACGGTTGGACCATTTGTGGATTCTTTTTCGCATGTCATCCTTGAGTAGGGGTCATGCTAATAATATTATAATCTTCTCTGTACCGTTCCAATTTCACCGGATGTCTTATGGGACTACGCTTAGGGCCTCACCACACCACTCTGCAAAAGAATAACAATGTGAGCGCATCTTCCCCAATAGGCTGGCAAGAAACATCCGCTGCTATGAATCGTGACCGATGAATCCAGCATCCTTCTGTGGCAAGATGCATTCACATTGTCTTTCTTTTGGAGAGTGGTGTGGTGAGGCCCTGAAACCAGAGAGCGGCAGACAGACAGACACAGAGAGAGAGAGAGAGAGAGAGAGAGAGAGAGAGAGAGAGAGAGAGAGAGAGAGAGAGAGAGGGGTGCACAGGCCGGATACTGCCTTGAGGTAGGTACGGCCCAATTCACTCCCTGTCTGTACACCTTCTGTAACCTTTTCTTTTCTTTTCTTCTCTCTTTTCTTTTCTTCTCCCTTTTTTTTTTCCGGATTTTTCCGGACATCAGTCCGGCCCGACCTCATGCCCTGTCTGGGGCCGGGTCCGGGGTAACCATGCTTTTCGTAGATTGTGGAATTCCTGTCTATCCAGTATAGACAGGAAATTCCTGTCTATCCGGTTTAGACAGGAATTCCTGTCTATCCGGTTTAGACCGGAAATCCCTGTCCATCCGGTTTAGACAGGAATTCCTGTCTATCCGATATAGACAGGAAATTCCTGTCTATACCGGATAGACAGGACTTCAGCCTCCTGGTCCACAACAGTGGTAACGGGGACCCCTTCCTATTGTTGCTGCCTTTTGGCCCCAGTTGTGGTCCAGGAGGCAGAATCTTGTCCTGTGCTGCCCTGATTGGCATCTGCTGCCCCGGCTTCGGGTCGTCGCCGTTGCGGACCCTCTGAAAACACCCGACAAATGGTTGGCGTGCCCAGATTTCCACAGCACAACCCAAAAACTCCCAAAGGACGTGGTTTCAAAGGGTCCTAAGTTGAAAAAAAAACCTACAACTATCTTTTCCTCCCGACATCACATTAACATCGCACCATCAAAACCACAGACCGCAAAATCAAATTAACAAAGGGATGGAAGAACACTGACACACGAATGGCACTGATGGTCGGTCATGCCAGCAATGATTACACTTGAGAACCCCTTAAAAAAAAAAACTACGGTCTTCACCTGAATATAACGCCCGGTCATTGTCGCTGTATTTGGCACAACTTTCAGCCCAGATACGGCGATAATTGCCGGGTGTTCTATTCGGGTGAAGACGGTAGTGATGGTAAGTTGGTAACTACGACATTTATAGTGATAATAAATTAATAGATAGTGTAGAATCTGTAGATAATGATATTACAAAGACGACCATGATCAACTGCATATAGGGTTGGAATGGCTACAACCCGCCACAGTCCCTGCAACAACCTTCTCCTCCTCCTCCTCCTCCTCCTCCTCCTCCTCCTGCTTCTTCTTCTTCTTTCTTCTCCTCCTCCTCCTCCTCCTCCTCCTTGCCCTTCGTCTCTCTTCTTCTATTTCTACTGCTACTACTACTTCCCTCCTCCTCCTCCTCCTCCTTTTCACCTCCTTCTGCTGTTTGTCGCCGTCCTCCTTCATCTCCTCCCCCTCCTTATCTACGCTTCCTCCTACTTATCGTCCTCCTCTTTTTTCTCCTTCTTCCTCTCCTCCTCCTCCTCCTCCTCCTCCTCCTCATCATCATCATCATCCTGCTGCTGTTGCTGCTGCTGCTGCTACTTCTTCTGCTGTTCCTAGTGCTAAACTTTCTTTTTTCTCTGTTCTTTCATTGACTTTGCATTATTTTTTTAGGCGTTCGGTCTTCCTTGCCAATTTGGGGGCGCATGGAGAGAAGAGAATAAGATGCTTCTTACTTACCAATAATGGAGAGCAGGCCCTACAAGGCAAAGCCCAATTGTGGCATTGACTGTGACACGATGTACGTCCAGTTTTTGTGCCCCTTCAATCACAACCTGATAACAAGAGAGAATTTAAAGCACATCAACAGTGCACGGAGAGAGCACGGAAACCACAGAGCGATTACACAGAGAGCACACAGAGAGGGTGTAGAGGGAGCATGGAGAGATACAAACAGGGAAGCATTGCACAACCATGATTTTTATCGGTTACTAAGACGTGTAGACTGGGAGGAAGAAAAAACACAGTCTCAGATGTCTCCATTTAATCTCTCTCTCTCTCTCTCTCTCTCTGTGTGTGTGTGTGTGTGTGTGTGTGTGTGTGTGTGTGTGTGTGTGTGTGTGTGTGTGTGTGTGTGTCATGCCTCATCGGCATCGATCAGAACCAAGAACCAACCTCTCAGAGAATACGAAAATAGCACAGCGGAAGACTGAAATACCAAGATCTGACTCAGCAGGGACAATGACAGGACCTGACAGCACTCATCATCACTCAGTGTGAGTGGGCTCAGCGCAGCAAGCATAGAAGGTGCACTGAGTCCAAATACAAACACGGATGAAGGTGGGAACGAAGAGACGAAGGGAGGAGGAGATAGGAAGGATCAGCCACCATAGCCCGATAAACCCAGTCTCCGACACATCCCCAATGCCGCTGCTCATACAATGTCAACTCTCTCTCTCTCTCTCTCTCTCTCTCTCTCTCTCTCTCTCTCTCT